AGGGAGGTGTCCAGGATGGGTTGCACCTGGTTTGGGGTCCTTTCTAAGGGGGTGATGAATGAGAAGGCCTTGAGGAGGTCAATGAAGATACCAGAAGTATGGAGCAACCTACGTATATGGACCAAGCAATAGAGCTAGGACACAGAGATGGCTATATCATGCCTGTCTATAGAATCATAGAATAGGCATCATAGAAAGGAAAGACCTTTAAGATCATGGAGTCCAACCTAGCGCAGCCAAGCCCACCACTAAACCATGTCCCTAAGCACCACATCTACACGGCTTTCGAGTACCTCCAGGGATGGGGACTCCACCACTTCCCTGGGGAGCCTGTTCCAAATTTCTCCTAAGACCCAATTTCAACCTCCCCTGGTACAACTTGAGGCCATATACAATTGTAACTGGCCGGAAAGCGTGGCTGGAGTCATGTATCCCCTGTCTCTTCCCATGCCAGAGCTAAGGGTCATCAAGCGACGCTCCCAAGGGTCACACTTGACAGGCCCGAAGAGGTGGCATATGCCACAGCGGCCAATTGAGCTGCGGCACTGCTCACCCTGAGACATGGAGGATGCTTACACGGGACCAGGAGGAGGTTGGACATGAGATGTGGCTGGTGCCACGCAGGTCCTTTCCAGCTCGGGGAACATCATCGTGCTGGGAGCAAAGGTGAGAGCTGGGGGGACCAGGCAGGAGCTGCCGTCCCCAGGTGTGGGCAGGATCCCTCTCTGCCTCCAGGCATGTCCGATGGTCTTAACAGGCCACCACGGAGCCCTGTCCTTCTGAGTTAATGAAGACGTGGACAGGAGACAGATGGCCAGCCCGTGTGGTGGCATCTCCCCTCCTCGGGAGGCTTGGCTAAAATCCAGAGAGCAGGATGGTGCGGAGATGTGGGGAGGACATGGCAGGCAGCCACGCACGGGAGCCTCCTCGCTACCCCCTCCGGCCGCACAGCCAGGGAAAAGCCAGGGCCAGAGATGACGGTAACCGTTCTTTTTTTTTTTTTTTCCTCTTGGTTGTTTTTGGTTGCTCTTTTGCTCAAAAAAGGCATTTTTAAAAAAATATATTAAACAGATCCATTTTACTAAGATGCCTCTTGCTGGAGCCACTGACAAGAAATGACCCTCCCCAAAACCTCCCCAAATAAACAGCCTTAAAAAAACCCCCCTCCCAAACAAAACAAATAAATAGATACATAAATAAACAATTTTTTTTTCTTTTTCTTCCTTTCCTTTGTTTTAGGTTTCAGAGTATTTTGGAAGGAATTGCAGCCCAGAGGTCTCCGCTGGTGTCCATGACGGCAGCGTCCAAGATGCCAGGTCCTTGCCCACGCAAGGGGTGAGGATGCCTTGGTACCGCAGCAGGCACAAGGTGCTCACGGAGAGGCCCCAGGGGAGATCTGCTGCATCTCGGGGGCCTGCGCTATGGTCCCTCCCCATGCGGCGTGCGAGGGCACGGCCACAGGAAGGATCACGGGGGGATGCAAAAGCGAAGGTGCCGGTAGAAACCTCTCTTAAAAAGACTACAAAAATTGGGGCGCTGAGGAGAGCGCTGCTGGAGGAACCTCGTGGCATCTTGGGCATCTGCTCCAGCATGGACAGCAGCTGCCTCTGGCCGAGCCGCATCCCCCCCTTCCCTGGCCATCAGTGTGTTCCCCACCCCTCTCCCCCACCAGCCACCGACACTCGAGCAAAAGTGGTGCCGTGGGGCAGCGGTGCTGGCATCGTCCCCGTGCTCAGAGCCAGTCTGCGCCGCTTGAGCCATCCCTCCTCCGTGGTCCCGCTGGCATCCTCTGTCTGCTCGAGCCCCGCGTCTCTTTGGCCAGTCGCTGGGCGTACCATGGAAGCACACGGTTGGCACTGAAGTAAGGCCTTGATTTAATTTTTTTTTTAGGGTGGTTATTTTCTGTGCCCCTCCGCCCCTGCCCAGGGAGTCCTTTCTCCTGGCCCCCTCACTCTGAGATCTGAGCAGCCCCGGCCATTAGCTGCACAGCTTGCCCATCTCCTGCTCTACTGCGTTGGGCAGCTTGGTGTTGAAGGCCCTCAGGGAGGACTGGATCCTCGCCACCTCATTGTTGGCCAACTTGAGCCTGTGGCGGAGCAAGCAAGTGAAGAGGTCGAGGCGAGTTTTGCCAGGGGGTGACAACCTGTTCACCCGGTCCCTGATCTCCAACAGCTGGAGCATGGCCGAGTCCTGGGAGCCCTGGGTGTAGGGATAGTCCAGCTGAAGGATCAGGTCACGAATAGCGTCGGGTTCGAAGGGCAGGCTGTAGCCAAAGACTTGCAAGCTGTTGATTTTCATGTACCCCAGGTTCTTGGAGGGATCTGCCATCTCCAAGGGTTCATAGTAGATCGTCTCATTGGAGCTGTCATCCAGAGACTTGATGCGGCTCCGCAAGTAGACGTGGACCGTTTCAAAGAAGGTCTTCCACTTGTTGCCCAAGGTGAGCGTCCAGTTTTGGCACTGGGCAGAGGCATCTACATTAGTCCTTTCCCAGTCTGGGAAGCTGCCCTCGTTAATGGGCATGAACCAGCTCTCCGAGTGGCTTCCCCCAAAGGGATTGACGTAGATGGCCATGACAGGCTCCAGCGTGCTGTTCTTGGTGAGGCAGATCTGCAGGGAGAGGGCCAACATCACGTGAACCAGCCCGGGCTTGTACTTGTTGCTTTTCAGGGTCAAGAGCATGCGTTTCCTCCAGGAGGGGTCGAACCAACTGCCCAGGCGCATATCATTGCTGATGAAGATGGAGTGCACCTCGATGCGGCTGTCCCGTTTCTGCAGGAGGTACTTGAGCTCCAAGTCCTGCAGGTCCGTCTCTAGCCCCAGGTAGTGCTCCAGGGAGTCGGCCACCTCGGGACGGCAGAAGCCCTGGGTGAGCACGTAGCCGTGGTTGCAGGTCCCGCAGCGGGTGCTGTTGTCCTCGGCACAGCTGGCGCAGGCTGGCCCCTCGCCCAAGGCACACGGTATGGACCCCTGGCAGGAGGGCTGGTCGGAGGGACACGTGCAGCTGTGGCTTTCTTCCAGGAAGGTCCCAGGCACGGTGGTCTCGCTGCAGTACAGGAGCGATTGTGCACGGCTCCACCAGTAAGGGAGGGACCTGGGGGAAAAGACACACGGGAGGAGAGATGCTTACATGGCATCTTTTGGGGCGTGACCGACTTTCCCTAGGGATGGAAAAGGTGCCCACCCTCTGTTCATTTTTCTGCACTGCTGGTGTCCCTCCATGAGCCCAGCCCCATTTTCCCCCTCCAGGCTTGGACCCAACCTCTCAGGGCCACACCCCAGGGTGGCACGGCTGTCCTTGCTCCCTGCTCAGCCCCCAGCATCCCTCCAGCAAGGCAGGAGCTCCTCCAGTCCCAGCCATGGGGATGCAGGCTGTGGATCTGAGCTCCCGCCTCGGGGCTCTGAACATTGTCCCCGGCACGGGACGGGGATGCGGCAGGACCCTACCTCTCCTTCGGCAGTTTGAAGCGAGGTTGCCGGTGGCAGCGTTTGCTGAGGTTGAAGAGCCGCCGGATGAGTCGGTGGGTTTTCCTGGAGAGCAGCTTGAGGCTGGTGCCCAGCTGCTGGTAGCGATGCTGGACGTCCAGGTCCATGGCCCAGAAGTGGGAGATGGCCGTCCTGTTCAGGAAACGGTCCCCAGGGAGCCTCTTCACCAGGGCCTGAAACTCCTCTGCGGGGGTGAGGAGAGGGATGGTGTCGGCAGACTCAGGAGAGCAAACAGTGAAGGCAGGGCTGGAGGCAACCTCCCTCCACCCAGGCTCTCAGATCTTCACGGTGAGATGACCACCCTCGATCCTGCCCTGGAGCCCCAGCGCCCAGCCTGGGCTGCTCCCAAAGGAAGGGTTGTAGGGAAGGAGATGCTTGGTGGGGTCA